CGACCGAGGTAAAGGCACAGACAGACTGAGCACAAGTGATGCACGCACACTACCGCGAGCTGGCAGAGCAGCGCTTACAGATCTTCTCAATGAAATCGAAGAGACAGTCGCATGGCCGCGGCAAACCATGCAGTCTACAGTTACGCTGCAGCCCAAGCCCTCCACCAACAAAGGCAACTCAGCAGTTGCTGTATATTTCGTCATGAGACAGCATAGCAGCCGCATCACGAAGACCCAGCCAAGGACGTGGTTCGATGACATCGGGGTACAGACCTTCGGCACAAAGGAGGCCATCAAACAGATCACCATCGACTCCACAATCGTCCTGCACGATGAGCTTAAGAAACAAGGATTAGACATAGCGGCTAAGTCGGTGATCATGACTAGCGACCCCGCCACTACCAAGCAGATCGTCGAAGCCCTCAGCAGCCACAACCTCCAGATAGACCGCGACACAGAAGGCAGAGACCTGTGAGTTGACAGAGCGGGCAGGACATGTATCAGCAGGAAAACGCATCTCAAAAGGAAGAAGAAAGCTTGGAGCCGCATGGCACTTGCTGGGGGAAAATTCCGCAAAGCCAAGAAGCGGCGAGTACGAGGGCTATTGCAACAAGGTGCAATGGCCTCAACTCTTTATGGATCCAAAGTATATGGAGCTCCACCGAACGAGAGGTTGCTTACGCGACGACGCTGCGCCAAGGCGTTGCGACGTGCATGGCCAGGCAGGTGCTTGACATCCTCGATTGCGGTTGAAGACACGGACCCCGAAGTTACCACCGTTAGAACACAGCTAGAAGCTTGGTTCGATCTATGGGCATCAAGGGATGGAGTCCAGAACCGCATCAAGAGAGCCTGGAAGATAGTGATGTCCAAGCTGCAGACTACCGAGAAGCGCAAGAGGTGGCAAGCACAACGAGGTATCCTGGGCTCACTTATCCGCACACTATGGGAGCTAAACTGGAACCCGATAGAAGCCGACAGCTGGATCGACCCAATTGGTGACGAATGGCAGCTCAAACCTGAGGACGCGGACGGCGACCCCACAGAGGTCATCGACACGATCGTAGCGCAAGTAGAGCTAAGACAATGGAAAGCAGCCAACGAACACCACAACGGCAGCGGTCTCGAACATGGAGCCGACCTCGATGCCTCATCCGACATTTGCGTGGCTTGGAAAGGAAAGGCAAACACCAAAGGCATGGCGCACTCCTCGCAGCAGCGTGCGCAGGGACGTGGGCACAGAAACGTATTGCAGACGCATACGGCACCAGCGAGCTCTGCGACTGCGGAGCCATAGAAGACGACTACCACCGCATCCGGGGAAACTGCCCATGCAGGAAAGAACACGTCATCTACCACAAAACGGACCATCTAAGAGACAGAGCACAAGAAGGCCCAGCTACAAATTCTGCATTTTGGTTACGAGGTATCACGCCGAAACCCATGACCTGCCCACCCCTGTGTGACACTGACCCCGCGGACATCAAGGAAAACATGGCAGAAGGGGTCAGCCATGCAGGACCCGACCACCCACTGCAAGTCTGTGGCGATGGCAGCGGAGGCGCAATGTCAAGTGACAGAAGATACCGTCGATGCGGATGGGGATGGGCACAGATGATGGGAGAACAAGTTGCTGCGGCAGCTAGAGGGCCACTACCTGGACCGAGGCAAACAAACAACAGAGCTGAGCTCTGGGCTCTGCTACACATCCTACAACATTCCACTGGAAGGATCATCTATTGGACAGAGTCTGCAGTGCTTTGCCACGGATGGTGTAACCAGGGATTCTTTCCAAAGAGGTACTCAAAGGGAAATGGATATATTTGGAGGAGGATCAAACAAGCTATCCAGCAGCGAGGTGGAGATCACAATGATATCATGATCAAACATATGCGCAGCCACCTCAGCCTGGAAGAATCGCTTGAGCGGCAAGTACCAAAGTGGGCATGGATTGGTAACCGAGAGGCTGACCACCGAGCTGACCTTGCAGCGGAGGAGCATGCTATCCCAGCAGCACAACTCAGCTGCTACGAGTGGGTTAGAGCAGTTGGCCAGCTAGTACGACAGCGTATCACCCAAGCTACTATGGATGCAATGGAACGAAAGCCGTCAATGACTTGGGAGGATCGCCATCAGTTACGAAAGGGGGCCAAGCTGGGCAAACCACCAGAACCATCCCTGGACCAGCTAGCAGGCAGCAGCAAGCACAAATTTGAAAAGACCATAACTGGTTGGAAATGTTTATCCCGCGCACAATCCACGGTCACACGTAGAAAACGGATGGCAAGATGGCGGCTGCAGTCGGATTGCTCGGCCACTCAGACTTGCCCTAGCGTGCCGGGTATATTCTCACTCGAAGGCAGATGCGCCCACATGTCTCACCATATTGAATGGAGCAGAAAGGAACAGGGTCACTTCTGTTGGGATTGCGGGGCTTTGGCCAAGCCCTACGTCAGCGAGAGATTGGCAGGCGAGCGCAACCCCCCGGCAGAGAACACCAAGGGCCACTACGTAGTGAGAGCCCCCAGGAAGCACGCTTGATTGGAATATCGTGATTATTCTTGTTGGTTACAGCGACATCAGTGTCATGCCATTCCCGAGGGGGTAGACCCGTAGAGCCCATACGGGTGCCCACGATGGCTCCAATGCGACGGAGCGTGTATCCCCTCGGGTCCCATCTTCTTGTTGTGTTGAGTTCCATTGGTATTGGACAGAGTTTCTTGTATGATTGATGATTATTCAATCCTATCGCAAATGATACCTGGCTTTTCACTGTATGAAGTTCGAGATAGTTGAGCTCGTGCCGCGCATCGACATGATCGACGCAGCACCTACGCAGCACCTACGTTGCACCTACGCAGCACCTACGCAGCACCACGCCAGCACTCATTGCTTGTGTTGAGTTCGGGGCGACAACAAGAGATTGTCTACTATATTATCCGCGCTGCGCGCGACCAATCGAAGCCACCAGGCCGCTGAGGTTTGCGTTTCTCAATTCGGGTTGGTTGCGTCGTGCATCGCACACGTCATTTACAAGTATATTCCCACACGCTGCGCGTGGCCAGACAATCGCTTGCAAGTAAATAGGTGCCGTCGCAATTGCTTCACTTTGCCAGTGTCTGTTGTGGTTGAGTTCGAGCTCCGCTTCGGCATGATCGACGCAGCACCACGCAGCACCTACGCAGCACCTACGACAGCACCTACGCAGCACTACGCCAGCACTTGTCATTCTTGTGTACTATATTCAGAGCGCTACGCGCGGCCTGGCATCCTTTGAAGAGTCAAGCGTTGGATCAACTCTCTTATATTCCGCACGCTGCGCGTGACAAGACTTTCGCTCTCAGTCATAGCCGATGCTGTCTCCCGCTGCACTGTGTGAATTTGTTGTTGTTGAGTTCGCGCACCGCTTCCACATGACCGACGCAGCACCTACGCAGCACCTACGCCAGCACCTACGCAGCACGCTTGCATTTGAGATTTCATTTGTCGAGTTCGTGCTTGATCGGAAATGGTATCCTGCGCTCCGCGCGACTTATAGTTATCTTGATAGAGGCACACTGGGGAGTTGACTAATTCTTTGTGTGTGATAAGGTGTTGTACTGATTGAGTTTGCGACCCGCTACGACACGCTCGACGTTGCACTACGTAGCACCTACGCAGCACCTACGCAGCACCTACGCCAACACCTTCGATACATATCCAACACGTTTCGCGTGCCTGGCATTCGGGGATTTGGCGTCGGCGCCTGGTGAATGAGACCTAACCTGCCTGTGTGTATATTAGCTCGTGTATATATCCTGCACGCTTCGCGTGGCACTGGATTGTGTGCGGCCCACGCTCCCTCAGCGTGGGGCCTGTCGTTTGTTGCGTTCACGCCGCCAGCTGCGGCTGTCGCAGCAATGATCTGCTGGTGTGACTGCGACGCGGGCTGCTGCCCGACTCGGACACGAATGTCTGGGTCTGCGGGCCGCGGGCCGCCTATTGCAGGTTGCCCGCGCCCGCCGTCGCCCCCCCCCCCCCCCCCGCCCCTGCCCCTCCCCTCCCTAGGCCGTCGGCCTGTAGGAAGCCCTGGGAAAATCCTCCTCCCCCTCCTTATCCTCCTCCCCCTCCTCCTCCTCCTCCTCCTCCTCCTCCTCCTCCTCTCTCCTCCTCCTCCTCCTCCTCCTCCTCCTCCTCCTCCTCTCCCGTCCTGCAGCAACAAAAGATGTCAGGATACCACGGCACACACACACACACATGATCAGGTCGAGCGGCGCGACGAGCCTAATCACGACAAGCGGCGCGACAAACCTACCCACCTCCTCCTGCTCATCATCTTCCTCCTCATCATCATCAGCAGCAGCATCATCCGCGTCAGCATCATCTGTACCATCACCATCAGCATCATCATCAGCAGCATCATCATCATCAGCAGCAGCAGCATCAACATCATCATCATCTTCGTCATCATCATCCGCAGCATCATCAACATCATCAGTATCATCATCATCATAATCATAAACATCAGCATCGCCACTACCATCTTCATCCCCATCAGCATGAGCAGTATCAGCAGCACCACCGTCATCATCAGCAGCAGTAGCAGCATCAGCATCAGCAGCGTCAGCATCGTCATCAGCATCGTCCTCATCAACAGCACAACACTATCAATAACAACAACAGCAACAGCAACAGCAACAACAACAACACCAACACCAACACCAACACCAGCAACAACAACAACAACAACAACGCCAACAATAACAACGACGACAACAACAACAATAACGACAACCACAACAACAACAACAACAACAACAACAGCAACAACAACAACAACAACAGCAACAACAACAACAGCAGCATAATGCTCGCTCTCGCCTCCATCCCACTCCTTTCCCCCCTCCTCCTCCTCCCCCTCCTCCTCCTCCTCCGCCCCCCCTCCTCCTCCTCCTCCTCCTCCTCCTCCTCCTCCTCCTCCTCCTCCTCCTCGCTGCTCGCAGCGTCTGCGAAGGGCGAGCCTGTCGACCCCGAACTCGCGCACCATTTTCTGCGCCGCCGCGGCGGAGCGGCGAGGGGCCCAGCAATCCCTCGCCGCCCTCCCCGCACTGTGCGATGCTCATACTTGCTTCTCTCCTGTTCCTCCTCCTCCTCCTTCTCCTATTGTTCCTCCTTGTCCTCCCCCTCCTCCTCCTCCTCCTCCTCCTCCTCCTCCTCCTCCTCCTCCTCCTCCTCCTTCTCTTCCTCCTCCTCCCTCCTTTTCTGGCGCCCATCATGATCCACGGTCGGCGTGCTAACAGAAGAAACGTAGAACAAGGAATGGAGGGCGACAAACATAAACAAATCTTACGCGAGATGGCATAGCGACCTCACGCCGCGGCCTACGCTGGCCGCCAGCGCGGCGCGCTACGAGGGTGCTTACGCGCGAGCTTACCCAGGCAGCGCCAGTGTCGGCGAATACGACCCCACTTGTTGGCGTCGTTCCTCTGTGGACCTTCCTGGAGCCACTCGCTCCAATCGTGCGTCGAAGCCGCGTCGAACGCCCGTCGACTCGAGTCGAAATTGAGTCGAACCTGAGTCGAACCTGAGTCGAACCCAAGTCGAACCTGAGTTGAACCTGAGTCAAACCTGAGCCGCACCTGAGTAGAACTGGAGTCGATCATATTCGCTGGGCGGGCCCCAAGAAGGTCCCCGAAACGAGCATCTGAGTACGGCCTGGCTTTGGATGGCCCGGGCCGGCGCCGACGAGTCGGGCCGAGTGGAACCGAATCGGAATCGCGGTCACTGCCGGCCAGTCCAATCGCATTGAATCAAATCGTAGACGGCCCTGGGTGAAGGACAGCACGAATAAATGCATGCAATGCCGGACGACTCTTCCCGCACGACAGAATTGGCACGCAGTAGTCCTCCTCGCCATGTCTTCGCATCCCGAGCATCAATGAGAAGGATAGAGTCGGAACGGCACGCACGACGGCAAAGGCATGCGGCATGGATATATAGTCCCAGTAGGTACGGCTACGCGATTGGCAACTCCTGCCACGTCACCCATATGAGCAATCCACCGTGGTCCTCACCAACACCGTCTCATCCTTCTCCAGCTCCTGCTCCGACACTGGCAAGGCGCCTGGGAATCGAATTTGGATGGGCTTGTGGGGATGCGCGAAACGTTGACCACAAGGACGGACTGGGAGACACGGACGGAGAGTCGAAGAAGCAACGAGACAGTGTGACGCCGGTTACCCGTACATCCATCCTGCTGCCATCAGACACGCCAAGGAAGGAACGACGGGGCTGTTCTGGCAACGGAGGCCCTCGGCCCCGAAGGAGCTCCCCGACCTGGATCTGTGAAGTCGGCCCTGAAACCAGAGCCCATCCTGAACCCCAAGGCGTCCTTACTTCAACGCCCTGTCTGCAGACGAGGGTGGAGAGGCACGGCAGGGGCAGAGATCAGAGACCTCTCAGATGGGGTCCGAGCAGGTGGGGCCGGAGGATGGCACCTCGTCGCCGATGCATCGCCGATGCATCGGCGACGCATCGGTGTGGAGAAGCCGGGTTCCACATCGAGCCGCACCGCCGATGCATCGGCGATGCAGCGCGATCCCCCGACCCCGTCTGCTCGGGGAGAGGAGGAGGAGGAGGAGGCGGAGGAGGAGGAGCAGGAGGAAGAGGAGGAGGAGGAGGAGGAGGAAGGAGGAGGGGAGGAGGAGGGGGAGGAGGAGGAGGAGGAGGAAGAGGGGGAGGAGGAGGAGGAGGAGGAGAGCAGGAGGAGGAGGAGGAGGAGGAGCCCGGCCTCGAGAGAGAGAAAGCCGGAGCAGGAGCGGCAGGGCAGGGGCCCCGGGCGCAGTGGCGCGGGGCCGCGGGCGGAGGCCGGGGCAGGCCGGGGCAGGACGGGGCCGAGCGGCTGCGCACCTGCGCCGTCGCCTTGACGTGGGCAGGGTCGGCGTACCTGCGCGGCGCGTGGCCAGCGACGACGATACGCCAACGACGACAGACGACGACGACGACACACGACGACGACGACGACGCACGACGACGACGACGACGACGACGACGACGACGACGACGACGGCGGGTGCCGCCGCAGGCCTGCGTGCAGAGGCTCGACCCCATCGCCCGCCAGCGACGAAGCGCGGGAGGCGAGGCCGAAAGCGGAGTCCACCAGGGAGCTGCGCGGGTAGTCCAGATTTCGTCATAAAAAAGCCGTGATGATCCCACCGGGCCTTGCGGGCGTGAGTGGTTCAGGGAGCGTTCTCTTCCAACCCCGTGCTTCCCCTTCGGGGAGGGGTTTACCCCTCCTCCTCTTTGTACGTTGGTGCACGCGTTGACGTGCCAAATCGTTGTAACTAGTCACGATTTGCTTATAGCACTGCCAACTTAAGTTGTAAAGCTGTCAACCCATTATATGTGGCGGTAAACCATTAGTAAGTCAGTTCAGTCGAACTTACTACATGCTTACACCTGAATGTCCACGTTATAACTTGGCTAGCCAAGTGTGTGTTAAGTGTTGGGCCACATATATAAACGGTTCGTAACTCAAAAACCCACTTAGCTTCCCGGAGGCGATCTAGATGCAAACTGGTATGAACACTTATAAACGCTTAGCTGTTGGAGCACGGTATGTGCGCGAAGCGGCTCTAGAACTTATGATTCCAGTTCCAGCCCCCAAGCCATGCGCCCAAGCACATTGGAAAGCTAAGTTGTTGCACCACAACTGTTTCGAGAGCGAGTCATCATTAATGCGAGCAGCTTCAGTTGTATGAGGCACAATGCACAACGATGCTACACACCCCTGTGATGCTACAGAGGGCAGGGGAATAGTTGCATTGAAAATCGCGACGTCAGATGTCGAGAACTCTTTGGGGGCCGACGTGCGGTCTGCAATGATGACCACGAACGCACCACCTCCTAGGGCAGCGGGCGACCCCACCCCAATGAGGAGGAGGAGGCGGAGGAGGAGGAGGATGGATAAGGAGGAAGAGCATGGCAAGCAGGGTGCATAAGGAGGAAGAGCTGTTCCTCCTCCTCCCCCCCTTCCCCCCTCCTCCTCCTCAGCCACATTTGCATTCGTCACCCTTTATACTTTTCGGGGGCGTCCTTGGCCGTCTATGACCTTGCTGCAGAGGACGAGAGCGATGGGATGGAGGAAGGAGGATGAAAAAGAAAGGGCTGATATTGATGAGGGGGGGGGAGGGGGAAATAAAACAGGGCTAGGATCGGGATAAATCGCTCCAGAGCGTTCCGGAGCGCTCTCAGAGCGTTCCGGAACGCTCTGGAGCGGCCGCGGCGCCCACTACATCCTCCAAACCCGCCGATCCTCAGAGATTTCGAGTTATCCCGATCCGATGTTGTCCCGACCCTCGCGTCGTTTTAGGAAGAGGAGGACGACGAGGAGGCCGGCCGCTCCCGCCAGCGCCGCGGGGCGCGAGCCGCTGCCGCCTCCGCGCCCCGCGCGGGCGCCCCGGGCTCCGCGGCGCTCCCGCGCGCCGAGCGGGCCAAGGACGGCGACGGCATCGACGGCAGCTATGGCAACGACCACAGCGATGACAGCGATCGCTGTGATCGCTGATCTGAAGGGGCCCCAGGACACACAAATAGATACACACAAATAAAACTATTCCCCATATGTTCCCATATTTTCTGGTTGCTGTCTTCCCGCCCAATTCCCATATTTTTCCACATTTTCCTTGGGATCGACGATTAATTGTGTCTGTGTTTTTTCCCCTCCTGATGATCGTCGTGGTCGTTGCGATCGTTTATCGCTGTGGTCGCTGTGGTCGTTACCGCTGTGATCGTTTTCGGCGTGGGGCTTCCCCTGGGCACCTCGGCACCGCTCCGGCCTGCCAGCCCGCACGGGAGGGGCAGCCAGATTATAGCGTTCGGTCGGGCATGTCCTCCTACAGGTGGCTTTCCGACGAACACTTCGAAATAGTCAAGCCAAAAATATCCAACGGTGGTCAAAGAAAAATTGAATCGTCCCCAGACTATATTGTGAATACTTTTGAATAGTCCCCCTGTAGAGGGACATGCCCGCCGACTGGATCATAGTGCGACCGACAGCGCCGCTGGGTGTGTACTACGCCTGTCCCGCCCGTTTTCAGAGCATGGGCCGCGGTGCCCCCGGGCGCGCTCTGGAGCGGCGGGCTCCGCCCAGGCCGAGTGGCCACGCCGGGAAGAGGAGGATGGAGGACGAAGCCAGGACGGGGCGCACATCGGGAGAGGATCGATGGAGAATCTCTGAGGTCCGACAGGGTCAAATCGGGAGGTGGATCGATGGAGAATCTCTGAGATATCTGGATCAGTGGAGAATCTCTGCGGATCGAATCGGGAGAGGATACGGCAGGCTCGCGTCGTGTCGAGCCCAGCGCTGGTTCCTGACACCGCGGGGATCGTTCTGAATTGAACGATCAGCCATTCCATTAACGCCGAATCGTTCAACGACGGGTCAATTCTGGGCCACGGGCGGCGTTCCACCTGAAAACGCACGCGCTGGGGTAGCCGCCGGTCGACACGACGCGAACCTGCCGTAAATGGAGGATCTCTGAGAGCCGACGGCTCTGGAGGATGTCTCGGGCGCCGTGGCCTTCTCAGAGCGTTCCAGAGCGCTCTGCGAGCGTTCTGGAACGCCAGGGAGGAGCCTGGGCAGAGGAGAGAGGCCTCGGGCAGAGGAGTGGCGCAAACTGGGGAGGACGGAGGGGACGAGTAGAGTGGGCGCTTTGGCCATCTTCGGGCGTTGGCAGAACTGGGTTTAGTGGAACCTTGGCAGAACTGGGTTTAGTGGAACCTGGTTTTGTGATTTGTACCGGGGGCGCCCCCCCGTCCCATTTCCACTAACCGGAACTGCCGTCACCCGAAAAAACACCAGCTACAGCAGACCTGGTTTAGTGAATCTGACCAACTGAAGGGCCCCAAGGCCCTACCACTAACCGGGTCCCCTTACCCGGGGTCCTGGCTATACCCGACATCTGTTTGTAGGGGGGTGGCGTAACTCACGCGAATCAGAGGCCACAGTGGAGCGTCCCGTGGCCCTTCGCCCTCGGAGCTTCCAAGGCGGCGTCGTGTCTTCTCGACTTCCGGTGTCGCTCTCCTCACTGTCCGGACTATGACTTTCCTCCTCACGCAGCCCAGGCCACTTCCTGCGTTGTCCTCGATACACCCTGCCCCTGCCCGAGGATTGCTATCCACACGTCTGAGGAACTCAACTGCTCCCCGCCCGTTCGGCCCAGCGCATCCACACAAGAAAGGTCTTTCAGCGAGGCCGGCGCACAAGCAGTACGGGTCGAAGTTGCCCTGCAACGTCCTGGCAATCACTCAGAAAGCTCAAGGGTGCTTGCGCTGGACCCCACTCCTCCGAAGGGGTACAAAATACTCTGGAGTTGGGATCCTGGCCAAACATGATTGGGTCCTCGTTTCGCATACCACACAACTTATTCGCTTCATCCAGCCAGCCGTGTTGCCTCGCACCTCCATTAGTGCTGCCAGACGCGCAGCAGCCGCCAACTTCTGGTGGTTCCACGGACTACTGGCGCACGCGGACGCACATGAGATCGAGCAGGCGCACGCTAATCCAAATGATAATTCGCCCACCTGCCAAACGTTCAACTGTCGCATGCGCATCTGGGAGGACCAGCGGACTCCACTTGTGCCACTGGGCGGCATCCTGAGAGCCCATGCTGTACATGCATCCTTGCGCAAAACTGTGTTACATAGCCGCCGCGATGATATCGCAGACAGGGCCGAAACCCGAAGCAGACAAGACACCACTCGCAGTCTTAGCTGCCGCACCAATATGTCCCGCGGGTTCGACAAACTTACATCGGGGAGGAACGCAGTATACACGCATGCCGAGTGTAACGCGCCACATAGACACTATCGCATCAGTCCACTTCGCACGCGTGTTAGCTTACACTTGCGTAGGGGTCCTAAGACACCAGCAAATGACAAGACACATGGTCGGCACGACACAGCACAACAGTCTCATCGCATTCTGAAAACCAGGTGCGCCACGGCACGGCATAGCAAAGGCACTGCAACAATGCAACTGGTTCGCAATACCGAAACCAAGCACGGCACAGCACAGCAAGGGACAACAAAAAAAGTCCTGCATCCCCGAAGCCGAGCACGGCTCGGCAACGAACCGGCACGCGGGCACGGCACGCCCCAGCACGGCCACCTCTTCGCAGCCTCAAGACCAAACACGACACGGAACGGCACGGCAAAGGCACGCGGTCACGGCACACCCCGGCACGGCGACCTCTCCGCAGCCCCAAGACCAAAAACACGACGACGGCGCGGCAAGGGCACGGCACGGCACGGCACGGCACGGCACGGCAGCTCCTCCGCGCCCTCGAGGCCCGACACGGCACGGCACGGCCCGCGGACCCGGCACGGCACGGCACGGCAACTCTTCCGCGCTCTCGGACACACGCACGGCACGGCACGGCACGGCGCGCGGGCACGGCGCGGCACGGCACGGCACGCGGGGCGGGCGGGCGGGCGGGCGGGCCCAGCTCGCCTTTGTTGCTCTGCTCCTGACCCCTTGCGGCGTTCGCTGCAAGGGTAACGCTGCACTGATACTGCATAAGAGCATCTCCAGATTGCCGCGCGAACGCGCCACACACACACACACACACACACACACACACACACGTTAGCGCATCGCACCCGCCAACGACCACATGAAATACCTTGGCGAGGCTGGCATTACAGCGTGAGGCGGAAGACCCTAGACAACCAGGTAAGCAAAGCAGCCACAGCTGTGCAATACAAACAAACAAGCTTACAAGCTGTCAATCGCACAACAAGTCCTGAAGTCCCTTGCGAAGCGGCGGGAACATGACGGGAAACACAGAAGGAAACCGGCGGGAGAGGGCGTGCGGGCAGTAAATGTAGCTTGTCGGGCGGAGGCGCAGATCTGCATGGGAGCACACGGGAGGAAAGGACACAAGCGCCAGGCTTCAGGAGTGTCCCGGCGTCAGAAAGACCAACAAAGCCAAGATATACACACCGCTGGCAGAAAACATCATGCACAATCGGTGGTGAAAGGCACTCGCCTTGTCAAGCTTTACCTCTGGACGCCGGGAGCCCCCCGCGCCGTGAGTGCACGGCATGCGCTGCCAGCAGTCGCGCTTCCGACAGGAAGGCGCTTGCAAAATGTGAGTCATGGGCACAAGCGGATTGTGGAACTCCCTTCGGAAGCGAGCCCGGGGCAGAAAGGAGAAGGGGCGGGCCTTCTCAGAAGGTTCGGAAGTCCCCTGGCCTTCTGCTCGGAAGGCCAGAGGGCTTCTGGGAAGCCCCCCCGCCTTCTTAGCAGGCCCTCTCCTTCTCACCTCCAACCCCTCGCGCGCCGACGATCTCCACCCTGCCCTCCTCCCCCCTCGCAGTCCCTTCCGTCTCCCTCCCCATCCCATTCTCCCTCCCCATCCCCTTCTCCCTCCACTCCCCTCCTCTCCTCCCCCGCCTCTCCTCGCTGCCCCATATAGCCCTCCCCCCGCCTCTCTCCGGAGCCTCGTCCGCAGGCGGGGGCCGGGGGCCACGGAGGCGCGTGCACTCGCTGCGCCATGAGCGGGACAAGCCTTCGACCTTCGGTCCCCCCCAAGGTCCCAGACCACCACCGAAGAGGAGCCCGTTGGACCTCTGGACCGGAGGCCGCGGCGCAGCCCTGACGCTTGGCCCGCCCTCCGCCTGCCCTCACGCCCCTCTGCCTCCAGCGCGTGCACATGCACGGCTGCACGTTACGAGTGCTACTCTCCTGTCTCCTCTGACTCCGTCCGGAAGACAGTCGGCCCTCTCGGCGTGCTGCATTCTTTCACACAGGACTTCGAGCACTGGCTTTCCTTATGAACTTTGCCATCCGATTGCTGTTGGTGCTCCAAAGTGGTGCTCCCGCTGCACCGTGGGCCGCTTTTCTGGCTCCGAGCTCTTTTTATCGTCGACGCCCCTCTCATTTCCCCTTCCACTCCAGTTCCTGCTGCTGCAATTCGTCTTCGTCCTCCTCCTTCCACATCCTCCCCCATTTTCTCCTCCTCCTCCTCCCTCCTCCTCCTCCTCCTCCTCCTCCTCCTCCTCCTCCTCCTCCTCCTCCTCCTAAACCAGGTGTGCAACCAGCCGGCTGCACGCCTCCTCCTGAGACGTGCTACCATGAACCCGCCAGGATGCCAGCCAGCTGTGCAGCAGCGCTGGGACGGGTGATCAGCAATTATATATATATATATATATATATATATATATATACATACATACATATATATATATATACAGATATATGACCTCACAAACCTTTGGGAGGGGAGCTGAGATAGGAGGGTCAGGAGCATCAGGGATGGGGGGTCGTCTTTGCGGACGTATGGAGACAAACCGCCCAGATCTGTGATCCCTCACGTGAGGACGGGGACCCGAGCTAGGCCACGTCTTGATCGGGCTAGTATCGGGGATGGACAGACCCCCCTTTAGTAGAACGTGGTTTAGTGAAAACGACCTGAGGCCCAAACCTGGCGGGCGCAGGCCTGGAAAATAACGGCCACGGCGCCCTCTCGAGAACCGAAAACTGACAATTCACTAATCGACGTGTCACTGTTGGGGGTTCTGTCCACCCCCGATAGTAGGGCCAGGGATCCCTCGACGAACGGCGAAGCGCGGCTTCGTCGAGCAGAGCACTCATCCGTGACGTCCGCCCGCCTGCGGGCGCACGCCGTGCCGGGCGCGCGCAGGCGCGGCGACTCAAACACGACGTTTATTACCAGCCTCGAACATATCCCTATCTCTAAGATCGGCATGCCAAAAAGCGATGACAATCTTAGGGATGCGCCCTCAAAAAGTAAGGGGATCTCTCAGATTGGCATCGTGATGAGGAGATGCCCAGCATAGGGATAGGGATATGCTCCAGGCTGGTAAGTTTAACCCCTCGCCCCCCAGAGCGGTGAGCCACGCTCCTGCGAGGCCGTCCCACACGCTCCGCGAGCCCTGCCCACGCGCACCCTGCGGAGGAGCGGCACCGGTGCCAGCAGCATGTCCCCCAGCTCGAGGATGCCGACCGGCACGTCCCCGACGGGCTCTCACTAGCCACGGCGAGCCTCGGCCGCCACGCGGGCTGCTCATCCTGGCCGGCCGTGAACCACTGCAGGCCACAGCAGGCTGCAGCAGCTGCCGTCGACCTGGCCCCGAGCGCTCGGCACGCGCGCGCCTGCTCCGCGAAAGATCTGGGACGACAGCAAGATATCGGGACGCAGGCGGCTCGGGAGAAATCAGCCCCTGGCCATCGCTCGGACGTCCATTCCCTGTGCTTTTGTCGGTTTCGTGCGTGGTTTTTTCGCCAAATGATCAGGGATGCTCCTCGATGGTCCTCGCCGAAGGAAAAATGCACACGTCCGAGCGATGCCAAGGGAATGGCTGCTCGGGACGGAGCGTTCCGGGACGCTCTGGGCGCTCGAAGAGCGTTCCAGAACGCTCTGGAGTGAGATATCCCGATCCTGGGCCCGATGTGACATCGCTGTCCTGGCGGGCCAACCCATCTGCCATCGCTCTCGCCAAGCTAACTTGAGCCAGATTGTAGCAGCATGGCTACGGACTCTGCCCCCTGCCCTGCCTCCTCAAACCACTGTTCCTTCCTTTTCCCCCCCTCCCTAACCGCCACCTCTGCCACCCCGCGGCGATTGGAACCAGCCGGCCGCTTGTCGGGGCACATTCTTCTCGCCTCCGCGGGAGAGGTCGTCCAACTGACCTGGAAAGGATTCGGCGAAGACATCCGCAAGCACGCTTTCGTCCTCCTCATCCTCATTCTCATCCTCATCCTCATTCTCACCCTCACCCTCACCCTCACCCTCATCCTCATCCTCATCCTCATCCTCATCCTCATCCTCATCCTCATCCTCATCCTCATCCTCATCCTCATCCTCATCCTCATCCTCATCCTCATCCTCATCATCATCATCATCATCATCATCATCATCATCATCATCATCATCATCATCATCATCATCATCATCATCATCATCATCGGCATCATCATCATCATCATCATCATCATCATCATCATCATCATCATCATTATCATCGTGAGCATCATCATCATCCTCCTGTTCCTCCTCATCATCATCATCATGCTCATCCCCATGCTCATCCCCATGCTCATCCTCCTCCTCATCATCACCACGAATACTCTCAGCACCACCACCATCGTCATCTTCAGAATCATGATCGCCGCCGACGCCTTCATGATCACCACCATCAGCATCATCACCATCATCATCAACATCATGATCATTATCATCATCACCATCATCATCAGCATCGTCGTCGTCGTGCTCGTCGTCGTCGCCTTCTTCGTCGTCAACGTCAGCAGCATCATTATCATGTCCATCATGCCGATCATCATCACCATCACCATCATTACCATCATCATAATCATGATTATCATCATCATCATCATAATCATGGTCATCATCACTAGCAGCATCATCATCACCATCATGATAATGATCATCATCATCATCATCAGCAGCAGCACCATCATTAGCAGCATCAGCATCTCTATCATCAGCATCATGAGAAGCATCATCACACCAGCATCATCAGCACCATCATCGTTGCCAGTCGCATTATCAGTACCAGTATCAGTATCATCGTCGTCGGTGTCAGCAGCATCATCAGCATCATCATAGTCATCACCAGAATCATCATGATCATCATCATCATCATCATCATCAGCAGCATACTCATCTTCATCATCAGCATCATAATCATCAGTATCATAAGCATCGTCGTCGTCATCATCATTGGCAGCAACATGGTCATCAGCCTCATCATCATTTTCAGCAGCATCATCATCATCATCGTCAACATCGTTATCATCAGCATCATAAGCATCATCAGCATCATCATCCTGATCATCATCAGCAGCATCAGCATTATCATCATAATCATCATCATCAGCATCAGCATCATCCCCAACGTTATCAGCACCATCATCATCAGCATGATCACCAGCATCGTTATCATCATCAACGTCACCAGCAGCATCACCAGCATCAACATCATCATCATCAGCATCATCATCAGCATCATCATCATCATCATCATCACAATTGACGCCATCATCGCCAACCTCATCATCAGCAGCAGCCGCATCCTCGGCATCCTCACCACCACCACCACCACCACCACCATCTTCATTATCAGCATCATCATCATCAGCATCATCATTATCAGCCTTATCAGCGCCGTCGTCAGCGTCCTCCTGACCCTTCTCGTCATCATCGTGAGCAACAGCATCATCATCATCATCCTCCTCCTCATCATCATCACCATCATCATCATCACCATCATCATCATAATCATCAGCATCATCAGCATCATCATCATCCGCATCATCCCTGTCGTCATCATAATCAGCATGATCATCATCTTCATCAGCAGCAGCAGTATCATCGTTCTCGTAATCCTGATCCTCAGCATCCTCAGCATCCTCATAATCATGCTCAGCAGCGTCATCAGCCGCATCATCACCAGCGGCATACACATCAACATCATCAGCAGCCTCACCATACTCAGCATCATCAACCACTTCATCCTCGTCCTTCGTTTCCTCCTCATCATCATCACTAACATCATCATCAGTACTGGTATCATCATTATCATCAGCATCATCATCGCCACCACTACCGCCATCATCAGAATCGATATAATTAGAATCATCATCATCACCATCATGCCCATCCTCATCATCATCGTCGTCGGCATCGTCATCATCACCATCAGCATCATCACCAGCATCATCATCATCGTCATCATCAGCATCAGCATCCGCATTAGCATCATCAGCATCGGTAGCAGTATCATAATCGTCGTCGTCATCATCAGCATCGCCGCAGTCATCACCAGACATCATCCGCAGCAGCATCATAGTCATCATCATTACAACCATGACCACCAGCAGCATCTACATCATCATCGGCTTCATCATCCTCATCATCACCGTCATCATCAGCAGCAGCATCATCCTCATCCTGATCCTCATCCCCATGCTCATCCTCATCCTCATCAGCATCATCAGCATCATCATCCTCACCTTCATCCTGATTATCTTCCTCCTCCTCCTCCTCTCATCATTCCTCTTCCTCCTCCTCCTCATCATCATCACCAGCATCATCGCAATCATCATCATCATCATCGCAATCATCACCATCACCATCATCAACATCATCATCACCACCACCATCATCATCAACCCCCTCCTCAATGATTCGCCAATTCGCCACGGCGACGCACCTGGGCGACGGTAGAGCTTAGAGGAACACGCATCGGCATACACATAAGCCTTCGGAGGTCGGCGCCAGAGGCGCCGCTGGGGGGGGGGCCAGCGCCGATCCAAAGAATCCGCACGGAGCTCCGAAAGTTGATATGAATGCTTCTTCTCGAGTGCAAGCTCCGCCCCCGCCCGGGAGGTGATGCCCTTGGACGCTCCTGAAAGAGGGCCAACACGAACACAGGGATGTGCCTCGACTGGGGGAAGATGATCCTGGGTGGT